CGCATCTATAGAGTTACATAATCCTGAAAAAAGGCATTTCAGGCCCTTCATAAACTAGTTCTATCCATATCATTTCCCAGCGGAAACTCCCTGCTCTCTGCTGATAGGCTGACACAGCCTAATTCATTCCTACATCCATATCTGGTACACAGTAGGATCTTGATAATGCTTACTTAGGCAACCACATAATGTACTGTTCGAACTGCAACATTTTTGAAAGTGAAGCAAGACATAAAAAAAAAATTTAAAATTATATGAGTTAAAAAGACCTAATCTCTTAACCAACAAATTGTTGATCAACAAACTGGTTTTATTATATCATGGACCTATAATCTCATTCTATCCAAAAACCACTTTCGAAAGTAAAATTATTTTTGAAAAATAAAGTAAAAAAAAAATTGAAATGCTGATTATCTGAACATTTGAAAAACAAAAAGAACATGATTCAAGCTATACATTTATGACATTAGCACATTTCTGCAATATATTACAGAATTTAATTTTCTTAGTAGGTATTCATATAGTTTAATCAGATCCTTACTCATATCAAATTCTAATGCTATGTCATTGATATTTTTCTGATAAGTTTATAAATAAATGATAGTTAGCAATCTCAAAACCACGAATGTAGATGGTATGCATGTCTTCTGGTTCTCTAACAAATGTACCACAGATGATGCATGTAGTTTTGCAAACCACCCCTGATATAAAACCAAACACTCCTATTTTTATGCCAACTCGATTTCAGAAAGTCATGACAATGCACAAAAGCCATTCGAATATCACTCTCATTTTGCCTAAATTTTGTTATTAAACCTAACCATATGGACATGTGTGAGAAAAGAGGATAGAATTCCTCTTTCTATTTGCTTTTATTCCAGGACTTAAGGGAGACAATAGCATGTGGGAGCTCTCGTCCCTCAGAGACAGTTCAAACTTGGATCATAGTTATAATGAGCCTATGGAGTTCAAGTTCGCATCTTGCAGTAGTTCTATACAACTGCAGCATCAAATGCCTGCATATTTTGGCATGGCTGCTAGCCTGCCTGAATTGAATCCATATGACAAACAGCAGAATATCCTACATAACATCTGTTTGTACTGTGATGCTGCTTTGAACAACTGTCACTTTTTTGTCTCGGTAAGTAATTAATTCAAAATTATATAATGAGACCATTAAGTCTTGCTAAGTCGTCCTTTGCAAATTCCCTATATCCATCCCTTCTTTCCTGTTGCCCCTTCAACACTGAAAACTGTCATGCTAGACAATTGCTACAGCCTCCTAACCCTGCCTACCTCGAGTATGTCTCATGTCCAGTGTTGCCAAAACAATATTCCTAAATTACCTCCACGCACACCACATTCCTTCATCCAAAACGAAGCCAAACACAAATCAACCCCTCAATGGTTCCTTGTCTGCCAAATACAAAGCCAAAGAGTTCAGCCTCACATTTAAGACCTTTCATAATCTGGCTCCAGTCTAGCTTTCCCACTGAAGTGCCCTATTCCCTTCAACTCCAAGAAACATCCTCTCTAATGTCTACCAAAAGCAGTGATAGTCTCTTTGGTCTCTATATAACTAGTTCTTTACAAATAATTCACTTGGTATTTCTTTGATGCCTCATATTATTGGCTAGTTTTGTCTGTGTTCTTTTTGCTAGATTGTCCCAGAGGGTACAAACCAAACTACCTGGTGATCTCTGCTACTGCTTCATTCTTTGGCTCAGTGCTATGTGCACAGCAGACAATCAGTATATATCTGACTGAATAATGGTTAAAGATATTATTTATTTACTCATTCAACAAATATTTATTGAATACCCAATATATGCTAGGCACAGTTACAGCACTAGGAAAATATAAATGAACCTTAGAGATAAAAATTGCTGCCTTCATGGGAATTACAGTCTAATGGAGAAGAAGAATTTTTTTAAGTTAGTTATACATAATATTAGAAGGTGCTAAGTGCCATGGAGAAAAATAAAGCAGGAAAGGAAATTAAGAAGTATAGGTAGGGCTATGATTTAAAAAAGAATGACCATGGAAGTCCTGTCCAAGAAAGTAATATTTAAACAAAGACTTGAATGAAGTATTGGAATAAAGTAGGCAGATATCTGGAAGAAAAAGTGCTAAAACCTGAGGCGGGAATGTGCCTGAAATATCTGAGAAAGTACAGAGAGGCTAATGTTGGCTGAGCAAGGTGGGGAACGGGAGGAGGGAAAGGCAAGAAGGAACAGGAACCAGGCTGGGGAAAGCCTTGAGAACCATGCAGGAACTTCGGCTATCATCACTAGGTGATGGTGCAGAGGGTTAACACGTCTGACTCACGCTGTAGGGATCGACTCGGATGTTCACTGAGAGTAGACAGATGGGGCAAGGACAGAGGCAGAAAGACCAGTAAGGAGATAATATATTAATCGGGTGAGAGATAACAGAGATTTGAATCAGAATGGTGGCGGGTGGTAAGAAGGCACTGGATTCCAGATATATTTTGAAGGTAGCTCCGCTAGGATTTACTGATAGGTTAGATGTGGGATATAAGAGAAGGAGGAATCGAGGATGACTCTAAGATCAGATGGGGCAGACTTTGGCGGGGAAAGTTTTTAGAAGGGAGAGAACAGTATTTTGGATACCGGAATGTTAAGTTAGAATAACAAATGGGGAAACTGAAGAAGCCGATAGATATGAGTCTAGCATTCATGAGAGAAGACTGGACTGAAAATAAACCTGTGGGAACTGCCAGTGTATAATGGTACTGAAAGCTATGAAATCAAGGGGTGTGTGTAGACAGAGATAAGCCCCAAGCACTAAGTCCTAGAGTACCCCAGGAACCAACAAAGAAGACTGGGAAGGAGTAGCTGGTGAGGCAGGAGAAAAATGTTAATGCTAAGATGTTGAGAAGAGACAGTACTTGGGAACACAATTCATGTCTGTGATGTACCTGGCACTGATTTAACTTAGACTATGGAGGTCAAGGGAATGAATTTCTTTTCCCCACTCTTTATGACAGCTGTGGTTATGTAACCTTTAGGTAGAGACTACTAAGATAAGCAAGGATATGATACAGTCCTCCATATAAGTAAAAATAAAATTTTAACAACGCAATATTGAGTTCTATTTTCTGTCAAAAAAGCCTAGTGATAATCAACTTAGTGCAGGATTTCTTGACCTTGGAACTACTGACATTTTAAGATGGATAATTCTTTATCATGGGGAGCTATTCTGTGCATTATGGGATGTTTAACAGCACCCCTGATCTCTACCCACTAGAGTCCAGTAGTATACTGCCCTCAACTGTCAAATGTCCCTTGGGAACAAAATCGTCCCCTGTTGCGAACCACTGACTTTAGAGCAAGCTGTCAACAAAAACCACCTTCTAAATATACGTGAAGCATCCCTGCTGCCAGATGCCACTGTCGATTTCTGCTGATAATCTGTACTTATACTTGTCCTACTCTCTTCTCCAGGCTTTTTACCAGCCAGCTGATTTGAAAGCTTCTCATGTATTCACCACTCAGAGTGAGAAGAATAAGTAATTATCTTAACCCGTCATAAAAAAAAATGTACTTTTGGTTCTTTTTCAATGTAAAAGACATGCTCTGAGTCTACCCAGTTCAAAAACGACCATTCCTGCACACTCAAGTTCATAGCAGCATTATTTACAACAGCCAAGAAGTGGAAACAACCCAAGTATCCACTGAAAGATGAATGGATAAACAAAATGTGTCACATCCATACAATGAAATATTATTCAGCCTTAAAAAGGAAAGTCTGACACATGCTACAACATGAATGAATCTTGAGGACATTAGGCTAAGAAAAATGTGACAGTCACAAAAGGAAATACACTATATAATTCCACTCCTATGAGGTACTTAGAGTAGTCAAATTCAGAGACAGAAAGCAGAATGGTTGCCCACGACTAGAGAGAGGAGGAATGAGGGAGTTATTGTTTAACGGGTACAGAGTTTCAATTTCGCAAGATGAAAAAGTGGAGATGAATGGCGATGTTTGCACAACAATGTGAATATACTTAACACTACAGAACTGTACACTTAGAAATGGTTAAGATGGAAAATTTTATGTCACGTGCTTTATACCATAAAAAAAAAAAAAAAAAGAGTGCAGGCTCCAGAGACAGATCGTCTTGGTTCCAATGTTGGCAAAATGCCTAACGAGGCGCCTGGCTCATAGTAATGCTTGGTAAACATTAGTAATTCATTATAAATTCGTATTTTAACAAGAATTATACCAAGTCAGTTTACATGTTTGTCAGGAGTTATGGTCGACAGTCATGTGTGCCTCTGATTGCTGAAATGGGAAAGCGGTTCTAAAGAAAGTTTGATTAAATGAAAAAATGCCTATGAGAATAAAATCATTTCACTAATATCATTAAGTACAAAATAAGGTTGTTGTCTTTCCCCTCAAAATTAGGTCCTCTCCTGTGGATTTATCTTGTCACTCATTTTAAAGATCTAGACTTTTTGTATTATTTTTTTCGAACCTTTAAATTTTCTTTAACATTTAAAAGCATGTATGTGTTTATAAAAACTGACATTGTTTCTTACAATGATCAACGATCCATTCTATATGTTACCTTATTTATAAAAAAGTTTTTCTTTCATTATTGATTTCAGCAATAACTTGCAGAGTCCTACACTGTGTGTACTTTTACTTCTGGTTCATTTCCTTCCTAACGTTTCTTTTCAAAATGGAACCTAATTTTAATAGCTGTATTTGCCTTAAGGACAGTTAACGGAAATAACAAAGTGAAACAGAAAAGTCAATAAGTGGAACACAACAAAAAAATGAACAAGGAAAAACCTACTTGTCCACTTTCGGTGACAAGCAAGAAGTGTCTTAGAGACTAAGCTCTTTCTTTGCTCTCAGAGACAAGCTCACCAGTCATTGGGACAGAAAATGGGTGCTCATTCGGTAAGAATCAAAATCAAAGAAAAACGTCAGTGCCAAGAGTGCATGGGTTTTGTGAATTGTCTAACCTGCATGGGATTAATCTTCACCGAGCGTTCAAAGCACTCCACGCATTCTTTAAACTCCTTGTGTCGCAGGTGGAGGAGGCCTTTGGAGCGCTGGGCACGTGCGCTGCGGTGCTGGGACAACTCCCAGGCCTTGTCATAGTGAGAGTGGTCTCGGAGGACATCTCCGAGCAAGCAGTACAAACTTGGAGTTTCTTTCTTCTCCAGCTCTTGCCTAAGGATTTCTTCTGCCTAGAAATAACAACAGAAATAACTAAATTGCTATTTTTTAAATATATATACATGTTTTAACTCACACGATCCAAAATTTTACTGTATAAGTTTGAGATGACCTGGTTCTTTCATGCATCTAGGACACAAGCCAAATAAGACACAAGTAAAAGGAAGGAATAAAAAGTGGTGAATACTGCTTTACTGGCATGTGAAATTCTCATGAAAGGCAACAAGGAGAGGCTTACTTCATGATATTGGGGGGACTCATTTCCCTGCTCCCCACTCTGGCTGTCAGTACTGTGACCATTTGTTAGAGCAATGCCTTTAATTCACCTCTACCCAACATCAACGAAGTATGTTTTTCCGTTTTTAAAATAGTATGCTCAGGGAGCCTTGGATTGCTGAGACATTTATAAAAGAAGGAAGAGGGTATGATTTAATGGGCAGAGTTAAACACCTACCTCATAACCAAACTGCACCTCTCAGATAAAACTTGCTCACACAAGACCTATCTGCTTCCCGACAGTCCATTCGCTTTAGAAACTAAAGACCACACAGTGCACGGGCTTGGGTACTATTTTCATATGTCCAAAATTCAGATTCACCTCGTCATCCAAGCTGATCTGTACAAATTTATCCCCACTTGCCCTACCCATGTCTGTTACCTACTGTTTCTGATTGATTTCGACAGAGAACAGGAAGCACAGCAGTAGCACTGCTTTCCATCCTCATACACAAACACTTCCACATAAATAGCAGTGGAGTCACCAAAGATGCTAAGAGAGCCATGGCCACGTGGATGCAGATATCCAGGCGGCCATCCTTTGGTAGCCGAAATGATATCTTAGACTCCCTAACTGAAGTAGCTGGCAATCTTAAAGTTTGTATATTTAATTCTTTAGGTTGGATATTTCTAGAATTCTTAAGCAGTCTGATTTTTTTGTGAAATCTTTTAAAAGATGGCTGTGCTTCCCAAAGTGTCTTTGGGTGCTGGCCCTTTTGCATTTCTGATACAGTATGGGTTATGTCGGCTTTTTGGCATGGTCTGAAAACAGAACCAGAATTTATAAAATAGATTCTAAGGGAAAACAGTTCTAAGTCCTAAATGGCCAAAATAAACATGAAGTTTTAAAATATAATCTGTGCAATTCCTCTGCTCACAGGTCATATGATATTAATGTATCTAACCATAATTCTGTAAGGTCATCTATATAAATACTTGACATATGCATTTTTATATGTATATGTCTATGTATTCAAACGAATTACGTGTAACAGACTGTAGCCACAGCAGGATTCTTGCTGAAATGATCTTACGATGTAGTTGATGGCATTTCCCTTGGCAGCATGGCATTGAAACTTGATACCCACACTCTCCCAGGAATTCTGAAGGCTGATTCACTTAATAAGTTCTTTCTGCTTTAACCAGCTAGAATGGGGTCTGTGGTCTGCAATTAAACAATGAGCATAACAGTAACCGGGTACAGAAGTGACTGCAGGCAACATAACCCTGCAGAAAATGACTATTTGTGACTGGTTATCTGATCGGGTTGGATTTGAAGACAGTGAAGATCCAGTGATCTTGAGAGGGCAGAACACTGTTAGTCCACGACATCCAGTGATGAACAGGTTCAATTATCCCTGGTAACTTACGACAAAGCACCTGTCCAATGCAAGGCTTTTGTGTGCCAAGTGATAGAACAATGTGAGAGAATACGAGACTGTGAGGTTGGGTAGCTGCTTCTAAATTCACTGAACAGCTCAAAAAAAAAAGACATTAAGTGTTTTATATCTTATCTTCATGGAATTTCTATGACTGCCTAAAAGAATTTCTTTTCCCTTATAACTGCCGAGCTGGTCCAGCCAAAAATCAAATGTAGACACTGCTCCCACAGGATTGCTGAATCACAGTATAGGATGAATTCGGTTTCACCAGTTCTGTATGAAAGTTAAGACATCTGAGTGGGCTGATTTAATATGTCTTAGTTACTCATCTTATTTCCTCTACTGCCTTTTAGCTACACATCATTTTATTATTTGTTCTAGGCCTACTCATGTGCATCTTCAATATAACGAAGTTCATTTCAAGTTAATGTCGTGCCACCTCACCTTTCTCGTGTCATAGGTGGACCAGTCAAGCCCTTCCTAAATTTCTGTTTCACAGAAACAATGAGAGATAAATAAATGACTGCTACTGTTTTAAGCCACCTAAGTTTTTACATGGTTTGTAACATAGCAATAATTACTGGAACAGTTGTTTAAGGTAAGAGGGTTACTCTACTACCAGCTAGTTCGTGGCCAGGAGCAGAAGAGGGCATTGATTATGAAAGAGCAAGACCCAAGAATTTAATGAGGACGTTGGAATGATTCAGATAACAGAAACTCCTCAACTCTTCTGAGTTTCCTAGGCCGGCAGAGGCGACCCTCCCCTATCTGATAAGATTAGTGCTCTCTTGCTTAAAGAAAGTACAACAGCTGCAGCTCAGGTAGTTACCTCGCAGGAGGACACTGATTCTCATACCTAACTCCTTCCATCCCTCACTGCCTCCAGACTTACACACAAAAAGAACTGCAAGATGTCAGTAATTTCTACAGGGAAAACCTTGGGACCATATGGAAAAAGAGAATCTAAGAGCACTAGACCACAGGCAAAGAGGATCACAATTGTAAATCAGCTGAATTTAGATGCTCATCAGAAATTTTTGATTCACAGTGCTAACTCAAGCAGCTGGGGATGGTTCTAAATTATTTGCTCAATTGCTTGACTAAAACCTGGACTCAAACGTGGCCAAAACTAAAGCTGAGATGCCAGAAATTCCTTGGTATAATGGGGAGGAAAGAACTTAGAAAAGCTGTTGTTAATTTATTATTTGCAACCTCTTCACCCAACCTTAACAATGTCTCCTATGAGAACCCAAGGGTTACTCCTTTCACCTTGGCTTTGAGGAACACATTGTATATGGGAGTAACAGCATCCTTGAAATGTGCTGATAAATGTCCCGTGTAAGCTGGGGGGAAACTCTGGAGATCCTTCTATTGAAATGAGCTTCCTGATTTCAATAGAGATGATTGGAACAGAAGGTAATAGAGACTGGCCTGGAAGCAAGATGAGCATAGTCATTTGGCACAGCTAGAGTGATAATTTGAACAGTGCAACTAACATAGATCTTAGGTGGTGGCTGACTGTTCGTGAAGACTTAGGAACAAATTAGATGGGCAGCCAACTAAATTCAAACTTGATCCATGGAAGGAAGGAAGGAAGAAAGGAAGGAAGGGAGGGAGGGAGGGAGGAACTAATGGAGGGAAAATTTAATACCAAGAGAAAACAAATTCAAATTTTATCTTTCTAGCAGATAAAATCCTAAAATCCTCCAATAACTCTCATTTATTTTCACTTGGATTTCTGTTATTTTCTATATGTCAATCCACTCTAAGCAAGAAAAGGAAAGGAAGGAAGGAACGAAGGAAGGAAGGAACGAAGGAACGAAGGAAATAGGAGGAAAAGCAGGAGAGAATGAAGGAGGGAAAGAAGAGGGGGAGGGGAGAGGGGAGAAGAGGCCAGGAGATGCAAAGCAAGGAAAGGAAAGGAAGAAAGAAATCTATATTTGGAGACCAGATATCTGACTTGAATTGCCATGTTAGAACACTATCTCTCACCCAGTTTGTACCCCTGAGTCACTTCACAGACTCAGAGCCTCTTAAATTTAAAAAAAAAAAAAAAAGCAAATAAAGAAGCCAATACTGGTGAGGAAGGACCCTGTGATAACATAACAATTATACACCATAATTCTTCTTCCCTAGCTTTCCGCAAAGAAGTAATTAACCATTTACCAGGTAATTGTATCCTGGGGAAAAAGAAATAACCTCATCTTTTCAGGGTTAATTAACTTAGTTAATGCTAATCCTTTGGGGTCCAGAACATCACCACGACGAGTTACTGGATTTATGGAAGCAGTCCATCCACGGTAGGTCTAGTAAGTCTCTGAACCCACCCAGTGGTTACTTCTCTCATTCTTGAATACAGAGTTCAATGAGAAATATCAGCAACCAGCAGAGCCCTCAGTAAATGCTACTGGGGAATAAAGGGCCAAGTGAAAGCCCCTGAACTTCCTCTTCCCATTAAAAGAGAAAACCCAAAGCAACACTGCATATCTATGCAAACCCCATGAATGGGTGCCACTATCAAAAACCTGAAAGTACCGTGTGTATGGGTGGTTTAACCTATATATTTAAACTGAGAACACAGATGGATCTTGGAAAATGTCATAGATTATTATAAACGTAATATAACGGTGGCTCTAATTATAGCTACAGTTCCAGACATGATCTTGCTAATGGAGAAAATCATCACAGCCCCTGACACATGGCAAACAGGTACTGACACAGCAAATGTTTTTATCTACCCAATAATCAGACAATATCAGGTGCAGTGGGCTCTCACTAGCACAAAGAGAAGTACACTTTCCTGTACTGCCTTAAAATTACACAGATTGGATGGTAATTTAGTCGGCAAGGACCTTGGCTGTCTCACCATCCCATTAAACCTCACCAGTCTGTGACCTTGATGACATCATGCTAATAAAACTCAAAAAACTAAGATAAAAAATTGTGTGCCAATGTTAATCAAAAACCAATTGGGAACTGATCATATTATACTGTAACTTGCTATTAGGAAAATGTTCAATTTATAACAATTTATCTGATACAGTACTTCTAAGGAACTCATGTATTAAATAAAGCAAGATATATAAAAAAATGTTTATGTGTTACTGGTTATTTTTGTTCCTATATGCTCTAGGAATGCTTCAGTATCTAAATCACTTTTAAAGAAACTGTATGTTTCTCAAAATCAGAAACTTTCTTAAACTACGTAATATAGTCTATAAATTACTCCAGTACCTGTTAGTAGTTTGGCACTTTCTAAACAAGTAAACCCACAAGTTAAAGGGCTAGTCATGTGCACTGGTGTATGCTACAGCAACTTGCTTATGATGGAAACCATGTTTCTAAAATCCCTT